TTCTTGCCTTCTTTTGCCCTTGCTGGATTGCTTGACCAGGCTTGCTTGCCTTTCCATGGGCCTTTCGCCTGGACTCTTGACGAAAGCGGTGCCCTTCTCACCTTTCGGAGTGCCCTTAGGGCTCTTCTCGCCGGCCGAGGCGCACGCTCGCAGACTTCCCTTGTCCAAAGTCAAAGAGGCATCCGCACGGACTTCCATCATGGCTTCATAGAACAGGTTGTAGATGGCTCTCCATGCGTTTCGTTCTGCATGGAGGAGAGTCTTTTCCGACGGGGCTCCCGCACAGTACCTCTGTCACTTCGACTTGACGGGACTCCGAGTTTCAGTTACCCCGAGTGACATAGACATGCTTCCAGATGGACATGCGGCAATTAGTTGTGATCAAGCTGTACCATAACTCGCAAGAGGCGGAATACGAGACTGTAGGGTGTGGTTTAAGCAAGTTGCAGGAGCAAATTGCACATCATCGTGACTGGAACGCCGACAGAGCTGCCAAACTTTCCACTTAGAGTGACTTGTCTCCCTTTTTGAAACAATGTGAACGCACGGTGCATCATGTCAAAAGGTCAGTCGACGTGACTGGAAGACTGTGCGGGATTCAAAAAAGGAACACATTGGTGTGAGGGGCGCTTTTCCTGCCAAGTCCCTCCCATCTCCAGGCCTGAAAACCTCCGTCCAGGGCTTCCCTACCTGCCACATTTTCGACGAGCTTTACGAGCCCAGCCCGGGAAACAACAAAAAACGAAGCACGTCAGAGTACTCCCACAGTTGCAGTGGCAAACAACGGTGCTTAAGCAGCACAAGCCCAATCACCAGGGTAGCAACGGAGTTGCTCGAAAACAAGCTTGTAGCTGTGTGAGGTCTGTGCGCAGTCAGCTTGAAACTGTTGACCATGATGTCATGACAACTACTTGTCATAATGCCACAGCATAAGAAGCAAGGTGGAAACTGACTCCGCTTCCCTCAAATTCAATAAGCATTGCGACTTTTAGATTTTGGGTGCACGATTGTGACGGAACAAAACACAGGTTGTCCGTTGTCTGGCAAAACTTTGTTGCCCGGAGCAGTTGCTGGGACTCCGTAGTTTGGGCTGAACGGCTAACACCGGCAAAACCTGTGCGCCGCAGCTCTTTGTAGAGCTTCGCTTTGCTGGTTCACCGCTTTGTTGTAGTTTGATGCTGTTGGTTTGTTACGTTTGCAGGTTCTGGAGCACTGCAGCGAAGAGTGTTGCGCTGCGTCATGGAATCCAGTGTAAAGGGTCGTAGAGTCACGGAGTCAAAAGCAGGTGGAGTCACATACAGTCAAGTGTCGTACAAGTCATAGTTCATAGAGTCATCGAGGCATAGAGTCGAGTACATGTCAAGCACAAGTCATAGTTCAAAAACTCATAGAGTCATATAGAGTCATAGAGTCACAGTGAGACAGAATCATAGAGTCATAGTGTTATAGAGTCATAGCGTCAGAGTGAGAAAGAGTCATAGAGTCATGGAGTCATCTATATGTACCACGCACTTGATTCGATGTAGTTCACTCTATGAACACTAATGTTCAGGTTTAGCGGGTTTAGGGTACAGTCCAACATGACGCAGAAGTTTTCCTTTCCTAGCTCCGGAACCTCACTATATCGACATCCCTGATTACTGTGGTTTCAACGTGACTCTATGACTCTATGCATGGTCACTTTATGTCGCAGCAGTAGTAGTTGCAGTAGTAGAATATATCTATCTATCTATCTATCCATCTATCTATCTATAGACATATATATATATATATATAGATATATAGATATATAGATATATAGATATATAGATATATAGATATATAGATATATAGATATATAGATATATAGATAGATAGATAGAGACATATACATATATATATATATATCCAGATATGCATCTGCCAATCCCTCTGAAGGGTTGCCAATTGCACCTCGCAAAGATGCAAGTTCCTGCAATCGACCACGCCACTCCCTGTGGAGAGCTGCACGGCGGGAAGGTTACAAGTAGTAACTTGCCCACACGTTTCAACCCTGGACCACACCAATCCATGCAGAGGGTTACACGCAGCGCCTAGAACATGCAACAGTACCTGTTGCACACCTACACCTACCGATTGGAACACTCGAGGAAGCCAATCCCTCTCAAGGATTGCGCGGGGCACCTAAAATGTGCAACTTTACCTCGCGTTCGAACACTCGACAACGCCAATCTCTGTGAAGGGTTGCAAGTTTCACCTCAATGCACATCAAAAGTAATAACTTTGCTTCGCGTTCCTGCGTTCGACCAAGCCAATCCCTGTGAAGGGTTGCGCGGGCACCGCAAAATGTGTAACTTTACCTCGCGATCGAACGCCAATCTCTGTGAAGGTTTGCAAGTTTCACCTCAATGCACATCAAAAGTAATAACTTTTCCTCGCGTTCGTGCGTTCGACCACGCCAATCCCTGTGAAGGGTTGCAAAATTCATGTCAATGCACATAAAAAAATGCAACTTTACCTCGCGTTCGTGCGTTCGACCACGCCAATCGCTGTGAAGGGTTGCAAAATTCATTTCAATGCACATAACAAAAATGCAACTTTACCTAGCGTTCGTGCATTCGACCATGCCAATCCTTGTGAAGGGTTGCAAAATGCCAATCCCTGTGAAGGGTTGCAAAATGCACATCAATGCACCCAAACCCTGTGAAGGGTTGCGCGGCGCCCGCACAATGTGTAACTTTACCTAGCGTTTGAATGCCCGAGGAATCGAATCCCTGTGACTTAAGGGTTGCGCGGCACCCGCAGCGTTTGGGCGCTCGAGGTGGCCAATCCCTGTGAAAGGTTGCGCCGCGCGCTTAAAATGTGTCACTTTACCCCGCGTTTGGGCGCTCGAGGTGGCCAATCCCTGGGAAGGGTTACGCGGGAACCCTAAAATGTGTAACTTTACCTAGCGTTTGGGCGCTCGAGGTGGCCAATCCTTGGGAAGGGTTGCGCGGGAACCCTAAAATGTGTAACTTTAGCCCGCGTTTGGGCGCTCGAGGTGACCAATCCCTGGGAAGGGTTGCGCGGGAACCTCAAAATGTGTAAGTTTACCTAGCGTTTGGGCGCTCGAGGTGGCCAATCCCTGTGAAGGGTTGCATTCCCGATGGACGATGACGATGCCACCCCTGGCTTTAGAAGAGAGATTAGAAACCGAGATGTTAGAGTCAAGTAAGTAAGTAAGTAAGTATAGAGTCAAGTAAGTTAGAGTCAAGTAGGTAAGTAAGTAAGTAAGTATACAGTCAAGTAAGTATAGAGTTCAAGTTCAAAGTTCATAAGTAAAAGCTCATAAGTAAGTAAGTAAGTAAATAAGTATAGAGTCAAGTACGTAAATATAAGTAAATATAGAGTGCAAGTTCATAGCATAGAGTCAAGTATCAAGTGTAGACTCAAGTAAAGTATAGAGTCAAGTAAGTAAGTCAAGTAAAGTATAAAGTCAAATAAGTAAGTAAGTAAGTAAGTAAGTATTTCAGGTATAGCATCATAGAGTCAAGTATCAAGTGTAGAATCACGTAAGGTATAGCGTCAAGTAAGTCGATTCTATGTCTGTCATCTATGTACTCATCTACCCGGCTCCGCACGGAAGAACCCTTCGCGATGCTTTCGGGAAAAATCCGTTTGCGAGGGCTGTTATCAGCATTTCTCACTCTTGAATAGAAAAGTACTGTGCTACCGCTTTGTTTTTGCCGCATTGGAAAAACATTTGAATACGAGACAACTACACTAATAAACAAATTCATCCAAGTTACACAAGGATAAGGAACCTTCGGTTCAGTGAATCTTAAAAATACAAAAAAATTGCTCAGGCGTGATAAAAACAGCGAACTTGGGCGCAAGAGAGTGTTTTTTCGGTGAGTTTTGCACCATTCAAGACTAGAGGCAGACAGTAACGAAAAACGGTATTGGCAAAATGTTTGATTTCGTGTCTCAAGCAGGGGTTGTGCTCTCGGTAGTGGGAGGTCTGGTTTACCATCTGAACTACATGTATTTCGCATGTGAGGATGAGGTTTCGGTACGGGGCATATGTGTTCGTCCTGTTCTGGACGATACACAAAGTATGATGGCGCTTGTGAGATGGTGGTGTTGCACAGGTTTTGTTGTTTTGGCAAGATTTGACAAGGTTATGAATGCATGGGGACGGTTCATTTTTCGGACTTCCGCACATATTTGCCGTGAGGCAAGCGGAGATCAGACGCACAGGTGCACTTGTTGTCCCGTAATTTGCAATTGTTTGTTTTCATGCTTGATGCTTCCCACAGCGACTCTCAGAAGTGACATACTGGCACGAGTCACACACTCGTTGTGCCGGAATTTGCAATTGTTTGTTTTCGTGTTGATGCTTCCCACAGCGACTCTCAGAAGTGACACTCTGGCACGAGTCATGCACTCGTTGTCCCGTAATTTGCAATTGTTTGTTTTCGTGCTTGATGCTTCCCACAGCGACTCTCAGAAGTGACGCTCTGGCACGAGTCACACACTCGTTGTCCCGGAATTTGCAATTGTTTGTTTTCGTGCTTGATGCTTCCCACAGCGACTCTCAGAAGTGACATACTGGCACGAGTCACACACTCGTTGTGCCGGAATTTGCAATTGTTTGTTTTCGTGTTGATGCTTCCCACAGCGACTCTCAGAAGTGACACTCTGGCACGAGTCATGCACTCGTTGTCCCGTAATTTGCAATTGTTTGTTTTCGTGCTTGATGCTTCCCACAGCGACTCTCAGAAGTGACGCTCTGGCACGAGTCACACACTCGTTGTCCCGGAATTTGCAATTGTTTGTTTTCGTGCTTGATGCTTCCCACAGCGACTCTCAGAAGTGACATACTGGCACGAGTCACAGATTTAAGTTGGGCGGGCTTTGGCTTGGCGCCCAAAAGCTAGTTGCCAGCCTCGCGAGTCCGAGCCTCAAGCGGCTTGGGCAGGATCTGCCAGTTGATGTGTATGAGAGCAGAGAAAGATTGACAAGGCAATCGGCAACAAGAAATGTCAAAATGGGAGGCCGCGCCAAGACTCATCGACATCGTGTGATTATGATTAGCGCTTGCCAGCTGTGTCAGGTTGTGGGAGGTGCCGATAAAGGAGGCATCTTAGTGCGAAAGGGCCAAGACTTGAAGTCGGAGCAGTTGGCGGACCGCCACTCGGCAATTGAGGGTTGCAGTGCCCAGTGATCCCCGTCCTTAGTTGGGTCGTTTCGGTGTTCCGAACAAGCACGTTCCGAAATGGCAAGTGGCCAGCTAAGGACTTTCCACTGGCGCCTTGGTCTTCCTCTTTTGTTTACACATGCTGCAGTGGTTGGGCATCGCAAGTTGCTTCGACGGTTGCGCCGGTCCTGCTTGGCGACTCCTGTCATGCTTGCCGTGCTTCTCTGCAGCTTTCTTCAGTATGGAACGCAAGCAGAGTTTGCATATTGGGCACACGTGCCCAGGTTCACTGGGCTCAATAGTCAATCCATGCCGTAGGACCATGGGCTGCAAAGCAGACGTTTCCGGCATCATTAAAGCAGAGTGCTGTTCATACTCTTCTGCAGAATCGTCTTCGCATTCCAAATACAATGACCACAATGTAGGCACATGTTGTGCTGGCCATTCGAGCCGAAGTGCCTGAAATGATAGCGGCACAGCTGCATCCGTGACGGCAGCGGTTACAATCCAGCTGCAATTCTGCATCTTGTGTCGCAGAGGTTTGATCTCTGCGTATTGCCGAGCGCAGAAGCCATGAAGAAGTTGGGAACGCCGAAGGCTGTGCGCAACTTCTTCGCCGGCCCCCCAAAGTGTGGCGTTGTGGAGCTCTGCCTTGGAAGTCTCTGGATCTTCGTGAAACTGAGGATGGAGGCAATCGCAGAGGGGAAATTGGTGAGTTCAAGGAGGAGTAGCAAACCTGCCGGCTGAAGCAGCATTTGATGTGACGGGATGCATCAAGAGGAGCTTAACCACAACAACAAAGATCGAAAGAAGGAGGCCCTGAAGAAGGCCCCGCTTCTGTTTTCCCAGCACGACATGAACCTGGCAGAAGGTGCAGCTTTGAATACCAAACTCCCAGGTCATTCAAGCAATGACCTTGGGCAACGACGTCTCGTCGCTTTTTCCAGATGTTGTCAAATGCATGCAGACCAACAGCTTGGACCTCAAGCACCTTGGTGAAAATGGACCAGCGCTTTGCTTTGTAAGGAGCAGAGTTTTGCCTTGCTTTCGATCTGAGGAAATTGGTCTACCTGTATGTGATCAACTATGCCAAGGCATGGATGCACTTGTAACACTCGATGCGATGCTTTGCTTCACTTGGACCAGGCGCAGCCAGACTTGGCAATCCTCGCCATCAATGCTTTCCGCACGGACTGACCGGGCCTTTTTCCAAACTTTCAGGCAGCTTTTCTAACACCCAGAGTATCCGGTAGAGTAGCCTCACTCATGCGCTGCTGGGTCCTGTAGAAGACTTGTGCGGCATCCTCACGACGGCTGTGTGCCTCGGCGATTCTGTGCGTCTGTTGGGTTTGCAGGATGCGAACGACCCGAACAATCCTCTTCTGCGTGCTCTGGCGGTAGCTGCCTTGGCTTCTTCGGGAATCGGGTCTTAGCAAGGTCTGTGTGAATGGAGGCCCAATGTCCCGGTAGGGACATCCGCAGCCCCCCCATTCATTCGAGACCGGTCGAGGTGAGGACCATGGGCTGCATCCGCCTGGAGAAGATGACAGAGTACCTGATCGATCCCCTGCGGAGGCGAGCCTTACACTTGATCATCGACAGAAGATGTTAGAGCCTATAGGCCTAGTCCTAGATTCTATGCCAGGAGTTGCAGAGACATGGACGCTTGGGTTCGCAAAACTGCGACCATTTGTATTGCCAAGCTCTACGACATCAACCCAGAGCTGGTGGAAGATCAAGCTCCGAACCCAGCGTCTCGTTGAGGTTTTCAGTGATCTCTGCCTCTGCCCAGGGCTTTCTGGACATCTTGAGGGACATGCTCGGAGATTCGAATCCGCCTGCGTCCCAGTGTCCGAGAGGCAGCTCACAGCAGAAATCTGCCAGCGTTCTAAGGATGGTCGTTGCCAATGCAGTGGCCTCCCTTGGTGAAATCTCCACGTCTGCGCGCAAGAACTATCTGAAGCTCGACGAGGATCGATGCTCCCCACTGGATCCCTAAACTCAAAGCCCTGAACCCCAACCCTTAATATGAAAGGATCCCCAACTCAAAAGGATCCTAAGCTCGGCTTGAGCCGCCTCTCTGTTTCTTTGCTCCAGGAGGTGATCTCCCGGCTTCTTCCGGCCCTCAACGAGTGCTCCGCAACTTGAAAAAGTTCAGACCAGAGCTTTCTTTCCTCAGTTCTGAGGGCCCTTAGGACTCCTTTGTCATAAAGCCTGGACCTGTCGAGGAATGGGGGCAGGTCTTCATCTTGGACGCGCCTCCTCCGCGATTGCGATTGGGGATGGACTCGGAAAGGCTCCGTGAAGAAAGACTGGCAGACCTAGGGAGCTCCTGAAGACCGGGTGGACTGAGGTCAAGAAGCCCTAGAAGCGACAAGCGAAACAACCTGTTCGTTCAATCTTTCTGAGGCGTTGGCTACCTACGATCCACCGAACTCAAAGGTGGCAGAAGCCATCTTGGAAAGAGGTTCCTCTGATAACCATGCCTCGGTTTTTACAGGGTCATCGAGAAGAGATGATGTACTTGGTGCGGAGACAGGTGTCATTGCTCGACTCACTCATGGCAACAGTGCCGTCATAGGCTCAGTTCCGGTGATTTCTGGCTTGTAGCGCAAATGCCTTTACATGCGTTTCGTGACGCCGCGACAAAGGTGCTTCTGTCGGCGGCCTGCCTGCAATCATGTAGCTGCTCGCCGCTCACCACCCGTTAACAAGCTCACACTCCTGCGAGGCCGTCAAGGTGATCATGAAGTTCATGGACCGCCTGTCCAGCAACGACTTAGCTCACTCCCCAGATCCTCATTGTCCAGTAGATGCTGATGTGGCGAGGGTAGCACTTTAGCTCAGAGTGGTACGGAGGTGCGGACGCTGTGCAAGCGAATGACAGCACCGCTGGTCACCATGCTGTCCGCAGAACCAGAGATTCAGTACGTGGCCTGGCCTTGGGCTATTTTCGGAGGTTAGAGATCCTCTCAATGCCCTTTGTCGTGGTTTTTGAGGTGGTGATGCGCAACATCAACCTGATCGCACAGAAGCAACCCAACATTCTGCAGACGGATGTGCGAATGTTCGTGTGCAAATACAACGATCCGCTCTACGTAAAGTTGGAGAAGATAGCTGTGATGGTCCTGTCCCGAGCATGAGCAGACTCGGACTCCTTCGGGTCGACCTTCGCCTTGAGCATGAGCTGTCGCTATCCTCTCAGGTGCAGCTGGCCTCCGACCGGAACATTGACTCCGTCCTCTCCGAGTTTGTCGAGTATGCCTCGGAGGTGTGCCATGACCATGGTGTGCCTGTGTGAGGTCTTAGTGGTCGGACGGTAGATGCAAAAGATGGGAGGTGGACATCGAAGTCGTCCGCCAGTCGGTCCGAGCGATTGGCCAGGTGCCAGACCTGAAGAGCGGCAGAACTGAGCCATGCAGTGTCGACCATGGAAGAGTCTCATGCTTTCGGGGCAGCTTAGAGCATGAGGATACGCAGCTCGGGGCGAGTTCAGTCGCGTGCCCTGAGGCGGCAATTAAGCTGGAACGATCTGCAGAGCAATGTGTGAATTGCTTGCTGGAGCTGATCAAGACTCGGGTCTTTGCCTCGAAATCCGAAGCCGCTGCTTCAGGGGCGCCCTTGGGTGCAGACCTCTCTGTCCCGGAAGTGCTGCTGGCAGGTCAACTACGTGGTTCAGGAGGCCATCGTGGTTATCCGGGACATTTTCAGGAAGTATCCGGGCCAGTGGCTCGACGAGACATGAGTCTGGTAAGTGAGTTCAAAGTATGGAACAGAAGTCTCAGAATTCGTCAGATGAGAATGCTCTTCAGAGGGATCCCCACGGACAGTGCGACTTGAGACATCCAAGGTACGAGATGATCATCTCCGAGCTGTGCCAAAACCTGGATAGCCTGGATGAGCCCGATGCCAAGGCATCCATGATCTGGATCGTCGGGGAGTATGCCGAAAGGCTCGGAGTGCGCCCTCTCTCCGGAATCGTCCGTGACAAAGTGCCAGCCGCTAGCCTAGTCTGTAGCTTCCCTGTTAGAATCGACAACAGCGGGGATCTCCTGGAGACCTTCCTGGAAACCTTCCACGAGGACTGCTGGCATCCACGCAGCGTTTCCTTGCTCGACTCGCCCCGGTTCGACAGAGGAGCCCTCCACCGTACAGCAGCAAATCCTCACTGCGACGGTGAAGAAGTTCGTGAAGAGCCCTCAGGCGGTTCTGCAATGACCAGAAGATCATAGGAAGCCACATCCCCCTGCGGTAGTTGCATTTCTGTCAGGACTCTCGTGAGCTTGTCGGGCGTGTTCTGAAGCTGTGCACGGACGAAAGCACCAACCCTGACCTGCGAGACCGTGGATGGATGTACTGGAGGACCGCTGCCTGCAAACAAGAGCGACAACAAATCGTCTTTCCCGATCAGTCATTTCCAGACAAACGGTTTCTTTGAGGCTTCTTAGCAACAACCCACAGCTAGCGAAGCAGGCACGATCTGTTTGCACCATCCTAGTTTCATGCATGCAGGTAAGCAGACTGCTAGGATGTCTGTCGCAAGGTTGTCCTCAGTGAAAGGCCGACCATCAGCGAAAACTCCTTTGTCCGAATCTCAGTGTCGCTTTGATGAATCTTGAAAGACGCCACCGTCGGTGACCCCTGCAGGCTCTACAGCCGCGGGTGCTGGACCGCCTCATTGCGAACATCTCAACGCTGGCATCCGTCTACCACCAGGCACCTTGAGCACAAGCCTGTTCAGTTGTGCGGCGGTCAATATGACGCGCTGCGGACTGGAGCGAGGTTCCCGAGGCCTTCTGCGACAACAACCGCGGAGCTCGGCAGGTGGAAGAGAACGATGAGTTCGAGGCCTGTGGCTGTAGCAATGTCGCAAGAGGCCATGAGATTGAGAGGATTGCTGCAGTGATGCGAGGACTACTCCGAAACCATCGAGCGCGTCGAGCAAGAGATCCAGCAGACGGGAAGGACTGCACTGCAATATGCTGCAATAGAGAGGTATTGCCAGCAACGGTAATGTCCGGTCCGAATTCCTTTCGATGTGTTCTTCAACAGATGTTTCCCGGCCTAGCCGTGTCGTAGCACACAGCAAATCGAAGTCCTTCTACGTGATGATTGCATTACAGCTCCGCAGCTCATTTTTGAGCTGGGTCAATACTGACACAGCGGCCCCGACAGCGTAGATGTCTATCACGAGTCTTCCGGTTTTCTCAACTTTTGGCTCGGGTGGCCCTGGCTCGGTAGGTTGAACAAAATCAGCGGCCAGATAGCTCTACTCTGTTCGCGGGTCGCTCCACCAAAGCTTTTTCGCAGCTTCAGTAGCACTGCAGCTGGAATCGTTTTGCCCGAACCTGACATCGTGCGCCTAAGCGTGACGTTCCCTGTCTGCGGCCGTCAGGTACGAAGAGGAGTCCGGCGATGAGGCAAGCGAGGCCTTGCTGCCGCTCCGGTCAGCAGAGTCGTTTCTGTTCGCTGCCCGTGCCCTTGGAAGGACAGCAGCGCGAGCTCGAGCAGCGGGGACACCCCCGACCGCAACAAGAGAGGTGCCCCGCCGGCCGCTGCGTCAAGCGCCGGAGCTGGCGCCGCAGGCGCCGCAGGCGCCGCAGGCGCCTCCGAGCTCAGCTTGTTTGGAGGCTGAGGTTCTTTTACATTTTGCGTGTACGGAGGCCCTCCTCCGCCGCTGCGCGCTCTGGCGCAAGTGCTCTCGGAGCAGACTCCGGGAGAGGGCGGCAAGCGAGGTCTCCGAGTCGTAGGCCCAGTTGCCGGCCTCGACTCGATCTTTGTGAGGGTTTTTTGTTGGTGCAAGCGACTGCAGCCCACACGGCACACAGTGGACATGACCCACTCATGGGGATTCGGGATTGGTCAGAGGCTGTTCCAGGTTGATCCATGGTCCATGGCATATGGCGTTGTCGAAGACTCGTTAACTTGCAGAAGGATGAAGCCTTCATCCAGTAAAAGGTTCTTTGGTTGCCCATAGATGCAGGCTTCTCGCCACTCGGTGGCCTTGCCATGCCATGTGGAGATGTGGGGAACAAGCATCACGCAGATGATTGGCTTGGCACGGTCTGGGACAGATGTGCGAGGGCGTCACAAGTGCCGCCGCAGACCAGCGACGGTCTTCTTGCGATGGGCCGGGTTGAGCGTTCGAGCCTTAGGTTTCAGCGGCTTCTGCCCCCACAAGTCTCGTTGCGGAGGGCGAACATCATCACGGATCGGGCCAGCGATTGGCTCTTCGAGACTGTGCCATGGTGTCCCAGGGATGTTTTCCCGTCGGCAAGGCACTTTCAGAAGCAGATAGCAAGCATGGTCCCGCCACAGGTCTTGTTGAGGCGTGCCAACATCGTGACAGACCGAGTAAGCGACTGGCTTTTTGAGATTGCAGTGCACTCACATGGCTTCGGATTGCGGCAAACAAGACAAGTTCTGACTCATCTACGCCTCATTCCTCCACAAGTCCTCCTGAGCCGCATCAACATCGTCACCGATCGGATTAGCGACTGGCGGTTCGAGTCTCTGTCGGCAAGGCCAGACGAAGTGTTTACAGACTGGGCTCCTCCGCCCGAGCCGGAGGATGTTTGGGAATCTCTGGCTCAAGCCAACAAGCGGAGGAGGACCCGACGAGGTGCACCGCTGCTGTCGCCACATTTTAAGGTCTGCCTCAGCTGCAGACCGCAGCTGGAGGATGTCCCTGGCATGTGGACCAGATACGCCACCTGTCCACACAAGGTGTCTCCATCGAGCCTGCCGATGATGCCAGCAGATGCGCCACCACTTGCAAGGGGCAAGAAGCTTCGCACGACCCATCTGGCCCTGGTTCGTCGGGGGGAGAGGCAGAAGAAGAAGAAGGGCTTGGCCCGATGCAGACATGGTCTTCGGGAGCGAGCCTGCCACATGTGCAACGGCTGCCCACATGGCAAGCTGAAGTATCGTTGCAGCACCTGCCAAAAAGGCTGCCCTCACGGGAAGTACGTCAGGCACTGCAAGATTTGTTCTGCTTGCAAGCACGGCAAGCTGCGGGACACCTGCAAGGAGTGTCGAGGCAGCTGTGAGCACGGTTCACTACGTCTGGCTTGCCGGCTGTGCTCAGGCTGTCCGCATGGGCGTCTGAAGTATGCCTGTTCGCTTTGCCGCCCTTGCCCCCACGGACGTCTCCGCATCAACTGTCCCAAGTGCAAGAACTGCGGCCACGGTAAGGTCCGTGAGCAATGCAAGAAGTGCAACGCGTGCCCGCATGGCAACTTGAAGTATGCGTGTGTCGAATGTAGCGGCTGCCCCCACGGGAAGTTGCCACGTTTCTGCAAGGTCTGCAAGCCCTGTCCTCATGGGAAACGCACGTCACATTGCCCACAGTGCACCGGCGCTGGCTGTCCACACGGCTTGTTGCGCAGCAGTTGCAAGCACTGCAGCGGATGCCCCCATGGGCGAGTGAAACGCTTCTGCCCTCAGTGCAATCCTTGCCCGCATGGCAAAAGAAAGCAGGCATGCTTGCAGTGCAGTGCTTGCGAGCACGGCAGGATCAAACACTCCTGTGCACAATGCAAGAGCTGCCCACATGGAAAGGTGCGTCGATTTTGCAATCAGTGCAATGGATGTCCTCATGGAAAGCTCACGCGCTTCTGTCAACACTGCAGGGCTGCAAAGCAGTCCAAAGAGTCGTAGCATTGTGGTCTTCTGGGAGCCGGCACCGAAAGCTTCCGTACATACTTATGCTCTGGCGTCTGCACAGCACATCAAAACAGCCTGAGACGAAGTCTTCCCGCATGGGAGGGAGTCGAACGTACGCAGGCTTCCGGGATTCAGCAGTTTGGAGTTGAACAAGTTTGTTGGTTACTGGCAGCAGAGCTGGCCAGCTTGATTCAGTTACTCCCGTCTAAGGTGGCTGCAGCTGTTGTTCGCGGCAACGGCGGGGCCATAAACATGCAGCTGATGGCAAGGACCTTGGAACTTCGACTTTCTGCCACGGCGGCTATGTCAAGAGTTACCTGCAACCAAAGAGGTCGGGAACTTCACCCCCCAACCCATGGGCGGCTGGGTGCCTCAGCTGCAAACCGTTTTCTCTGCCGAATGTTGATTCCCAAGCTGGTCTCGCCGACATCGTTGAGCAGGTGGTAGTCTATCCCGTGTAGCTTCCCACTATGCCACTACTCATATCTTTCCAGCACATGTCGAAGGATGTGCAGCAGAGTGTTTGACCTGCCGAGTAGCGCCTCAGATGGCTTTGGTCCAGGGCCAGGATGCTATACTCTGCTTTTGATGCAAACACAAAAATTTGAGCTATAGCCTGCGCAAATGCCCTCATCATTTATTGATCGTTTTCCTTCTTCTTGTAAGTGCTTGCAGAAAGCTGCAGCATTCAGCCGCACTTGAGCAGGCTGTGCAGTTCAACAAGAACCCTTTCGGCTTGGCACCTCCCAGCGGACCGCTGCAGATGGAGCAGGCCCGCCAATTTTGGATTTGTGCATGAGCCTCTGCATGGGTATGTACTGCTATGAGTTGTACGTATAATGTACATACACGCATATTGACATGTATGTCGCTTGTGACCTGGCAAAGCTGTTGGAGGTGGCACCGAACGGAACGGCCAAAGCGCTGCTCCCCCTGACCCCCAACAAGCTGCAAGGCCGGACACCAAGTTGCAGGGAAGCTTGGCCCGGGACGAGGCAATTCAGATGCTTAGGCATATTTTTGCTTTGCGAGGTACACCGCCAGCGCTACCGCTTTACTTAGAAGTCTCTCAGTTGCATTTTTGGACGGGTGCGGAAATGCTGCGAAGTGAAGGGCTGGAGTTGCACATTGTAACTTTTGATGACTGTTGCAAGGTCTTGTGTGCCATCAATTACAGATGTGTCCGTGTCCATTGAAGTAACTTGAAGATCTGACAGCATGTGCAGCTGCCCAGCCATCAGGTAGCGATAAAGTCCAGCGTCGACATTTTCTACTTCAACGTGCCGTGGCTGCAAGCTAAGCTTCTCGTTGCCGGAGATGGAGTCTCCGCAAAGGTGCCCTACGACTTGTCAGCGGTATTGATGGACAGTGGGCCGGTTCCAAAAGACGACTTCCAGCGGGTCTGGCAGAACCAGTCCGTGCAGAAGGCCAGACCTTGGCGAAGTCCCTGATCCTTGTTTTTTTTTTGCAGCGGGCTCATAGAGACGAGGCAGCTGCAGTGCGCTTCGTGGAGATTTATGCAGACTTGGGTAAACGGGTTCTTGTGCACTTGTGGGCATATCATCAGCGAAGTTTCTGGCAAACTGGTTGGCAAAAAGGTGTTGAAAGCCCTTCTTGCAGCTGCTGCTACGGTTGATGGTATAAAGTATAAATCCTGCATTACCCATAATAAGGAATATCCCATAATTCCCATGGTTTGGGGTCATTCAGGTCATGCAGGATTTATTTCATCAACAGTAGCTCTGATGTGGCAGCTCCACAGGCGATGTCCCAGGGAGCCTTCGCGCAGAGAGTGACGCCAGAGATGGCTGCTGCAAGGCGCGGGGGTGTGAAATGAGCCGATAAACAAGTGACGAATTCCGGGTGTGTTTGCAGGTTGCAGCAGTACTTCTGCTATGTGGTTGTGAAGACCCAGGCCGGACATCTCTCTGCTTTAATCCTTCGCCTAGGTCGGTTGCTGATCAAACCTGAGTCTGATTCGCAGGGCCAGGAGGCGGATTCGCTTTACATCAGCTGTCCGGGCCTGAAAGACCCGTTCGACTCGTCCTTCTGCGAGCTCTGACCTGTGGCTGCGGCTCTCATTCGCAGGCACCACCACCAACAAGCTGACGGTTTACTGCGAGCTGAGCTTGCAGAAAGGAGGACCTGGAGCCCGAAGCTCAACCGTCGGAGCAACGCTGAAACGAGCCCAGGAGGCCCTGTAACCTCGCCCCTCGCCCCTGGCCATAGGTGAGGGCCCAGTGCTGCTCTGAGCAGCCTGTGATGGTGCCCCTCTTTCAGAGCTTCCTCTCAGAGCTGCTGCAGGCCGGTTCTGGGATTGCGCTTGTTGAGAGGGGCTTCATGCCGGGTGAGCACACAGCAGCTGTGCCATAGGTCAGGGGAGTCAAGCACTTGCTGCTTGCTGCCCTGTTGACCAGGTGAAGTGGCAGCAGGGTGGTCCTCCTGCGGCCGGAGGGTCCTCCGCCCCGGTTCAGTCGGGCAAGAGATTTCAACGTTGAATCGAGAACTAGTTCTCCGAAACGTCCCCGGGTTTGCAGTTCCAGCTGGTCATTTCATTGCGAACGCCCGCCTACGCCCAGGCCGCGTGGATGAGTGCCGGCTGGAGAAAAAGAGCTCAGCCTATGAATCGCGTGATCACTACTGCATATTCCTTCTGTGAGAGCTCGCAGGGACTAACGACCAATAGCATTCGCTCCGGACATTTTGGACAGCATATCATTGTTGGCACGTGTTTTGTTCCAGTGGGCGGCTTGTCGGGATGATCCTTGTGATCTTCGGCGGTCTTGACCAGGGCCTGCGAAAGCTTTACATGCTAGACTAGAGACATCTCCCTGTGGGCCCCCATCTACAAGACAAGGAGGGGGCAGTCAGGAACACCTACTTCGTGTTCTCTCAGGGGTGAGCTTGAAGGTGGTGGCATCGCTCTCGAAGTAGTGATGAAACCAAGGCTAGAGCGCAGAGAGAAAATCGTAGACCCAAAGACCCGAACAAAAACAAGAGCCTCAATGCCGCCAGGTCGAAGAGCTGAAGCTCGCGGGCGAACGCCTGCACTACAAGCGCCTGACAGGTTCGCTCTTCGCACCCTCCAGCGTCCTATCGTCCTATCCGCCTGGCAGAGTGGGGTTCGCAATACCCCAACGCTTCTCGTAGCTTTGCATGTCGTTGCAGCGGTCGGGCTGCTTTCGGGCTTCCTGGGTGAGGTAGGAAATGTGATTGGACAGGTACTGGGCCGGAAGAGGGCTGGATAAGCCTGAAGGTTAGCGGCAAGGACGCGGGGGTCATCTTTTTCATGAAATGCAAGTGCTCCCTTTTCTCCACCTAGGCTCGACTAGCCTATGCGGGCAGGAGCTGGTAGTCAGGAAAGACGAGGACGACACTCCCCCGGAAGACGTGGGTGGACCTGGAGCCCACATCTGCCACAGACCGTTTCCTCACATGTCCTCCGTCTGTTGCTCTTTTTAGTGCTCCCGCTCTGTCGCAGGAGACGCCGCAGGACCGGTTGAGACTGATGCCGGCCTCAAGAGCAAAATTGAAGCCGACTCGAAGGCAGAAGGGCAGAAGGGTGCATAAGCAGGACCGACAGCCGTGCTAGTGATGTGGTTTATGGAGGCCAAGAAAGACGAGGGGGCACTTCAGCTGTACTGCATGAAGTACAAGGCCTGCCTTCGCTGCTCTTCCGGCCTTCCGTCTCGGCTGCGTTCGAAGTGTCTGCCTAGGTCCTCGGCTTCCCCTTGGACAAGCCCAAACTGCGAATTCTGTGCTTCCACAATGCTGGCAGTGCAGAGTCCATCTACACAGGGCCCTGTACCTGGTTACCTAACGCCTCGCAACTGGCCTTCACTTGTTTTCAGTCGCCGTTGGCTCAGGCCTGGCACTCCTTTCATCAGCTGGATCAAGGAGAGCAAGCCCTTGGGCAGCAGTGGGTGGTTACGGTCTTCCTTGACTTTCCTGTTTTCTCCGAGGCAGATCGAGCTTCTGGCCTTCGACTACCCAGGGCGAGACAAGCTCCTGAAGGCGGGGAGGGGGAGATCGGGAAGGGAAAGAGCGGAGAGACGCGCCGTCGGCCGAGAATGAAGCCTGGAAACCCAGGCCACGAAGCACACGACCACGGAGACCCTCGCTCCGGACCTCCTCGTGGAGCTGACTGACTTGGGACTTGGGCTCGGGCTTTGGGAGCGAAGCAACGAGCAAAGAGTGACAGGCCGTGGCCCACGAGAAGCTCACGGACGGTGTGCCTTACTTGGTGTGGGGCCACTCCGTCGGCTTCCCCAGCGTGTGTGAAGCAAGCCCGCGGTATTCCTTTGCTCTTGACTCCTCTGACACCTGTGAGGTCGGAACTTGGGTGGGCTTTGAGTTTCTGATGCTCTGCCGAAAGGCAAGACAAGCCCCTTCGGGGTGTTGGCTTCGGGCTTGGGTGTGCTTGTTCAGGTGGGCATTCCCATGCCCTTGGCCGCCTTCTTCGCGGCTCGGAAAGCTTGCTTTCTTCGAAGGGGGATGCCTGTCTTCACGGTCCCTTCTCCGAGGTGACGTTCCCGGCCCCCCACTATCCAGAAGCCAAGCGTTGGCGGCTCAGGAAGCAACGGAGCCAGGGATCTGAAAGCGCCAAGCCCCGAAGCGCCCAGCCCCGACTCAGGACCCTGGCGGCGAAATGCCAGGCTGAGCGACTCGCAGTTTCAGGAGGCCAGCTTCCAGACCCTTCTCTTTCGCCCCACGACGGTCCAAGACTTCTTGTGCTCTCTTCTTTCATGACCATGGCTTTGAATGACCCTCCAGCCTTCTGACTCTGAGCAGCTTTGTGTTAAAGCGCTTCCATTGAACGAAGTCGCCGCTGCCCAGGAAGTGAGGGCCTGGGACAAGGAGCACTTCGGCGGCGCGGCCAAGGCAAGAAGTTTCCCATCCCTTGTCGCCTGGGCGCCCGAGCACCCCCGGCTTCGGCCCGTTTTGAACTTGGAGGTGGTCTTCGAAGAGAGCTGGAAGGACACCTGGGAGCCGATGATGCGCGCCGACTTCAAGCTTTTCGACGAGTGCGCTTGGGAAGTCGCTCAAGGGCACAGGCGGCACAGGGGTGCCCGGAGACCTGGCACAGGTACAAGTTCCGCCATGCGGGAGCACCCAAGTTCGACTTTCCACTCCACTGCTGGTGGTGCGAGGGTGAGCATTTCATCAAGCCCGAGATGGTGCAGGCTGCGGCCACGGCTGCGGCTTTCTGCGACTAGGCAACGCCTGCGCAACTCACTTGGGCTTGCATTGCTTGAGGCCTGGAAGGACTGGACCGCCGGGCCCTTCGACTACCAGGAGCTGAAGGCGCCAGCTGCAAACGAACTGCCGCCGACGCTCTGTCTGTACTCCGCATCTTTACGAGGGAGCGGGTCACCTCACGGCGTTCTACAAACCAGACCTGAAGAAGGCGCTCAAAGGAAGAGCTCTGGTTCTTTTTCGACGTGATGCGATGTGTTCTGCTGCGTTGGCAGGCGTATTTCACGAAGGTCACGGATCTCATGAAGAGCTATGCCGGCTTGTAGTTGGACATGGATGGCCAGCGATGGCCACATTATCTCTTTTGCAATGTTCTATATAGAATTCCCGTAGGAGTGGCAGGCCCGACCTTGTGCCCCGACCCTGCAGAATGCTGGTTCGGTCTGCCGAGAGCTCTACATGCACCAAAGCTGTGAAGTAACAAGCTCCACAGGCTGTGCAGCCTGCTCGAGTGGGGTTTTTGTTGTCAAGACGTTTTCCCGATATACGTGCGAACGCAGAAATTCCGCCCCATGCCCTGTGCAGAGCAGTGCGGCCTCCGCGACATTCTGCTGACATTGGCAATATATATGCCAACCTTGCACGACATAAAATTTTGTAACATGTTTGCCATCGCCGCCGGCATCAACCGAAGCGGGATGTACAGACTGACCCCGTGAGAGCACAAAGGGTTTCGCTAGGAGCATCTGCTGGGCAAGCGGTTCGAACAAGTACGATATACCGCAAGAACTACATCACCTTGATGCGTCTAGTCGTCCTAAGCGGTTGCCGCAATCGTAAGGAAAGGATGAAAGCAGAAGTAAAAGGCAAAAGGTTGGCCAGTGACGACCTGGCGCCAACCGATCGTTACAAGCAGCAAAGCGCTCCGTGACTCGTTACAAGCTGCAACCACGACGCAACTTTGAATGGATTGCTAGACACCGATGCCATATGCTGCCATGCTTCTGGGCATGCAGCTGGCGCTGACATGAAGGATTCCGGCAGCATCCGCCTACTGGCAAAAGGCGAGCTGACAGGCTCACAACTGGATAGCGTCGCAATGCAGCAGGATTCACAGAATGCTTGATGAGTCCACCCCTGGTAGGTCAGAGATATGGGGAGACACCATACCAGGCTGGTTGCTGTGCCTTCCCTGGGGAGAGCATCATTGAGTTTCCCTTCGTCTGCCGCAGTTGTACGAGTCCACCGATGGGCTCACGAGAGAGCAGCTTGAGCAAGCTCCCTACTTTTTCGTGTGGCTCCACGGCATGGACCCGAAAGCAGTCGCGTTGGTTTAGTGCTGCAGGAGTAGAGCCTTGAGCATTCCCGAGCTGCTCTCCCAGCTTCCGGACAGGACAACGGCTCCATCTCGTCGAAGTACTTGCAAACGATGCAAGCAAGACTGAAGCACCGCGTGATCTTTATGGCCTTTTTGCCCGCATTATGCATCGGTAGCGTTTCATAAACCTGCTTGCAGTCTCTAACCAACACAGAAGAGAACAGCTGAAGCGGGTGTCGGCAGTGGCAGGTGCCTCAAAGCCCGGCCGCGAAGAATGACCTCCGCTTCGACTGGGGCTGCTGCTACTACAAGACCCAGAACAGGAACCAGCTAGGCCCGGCCCGCCGGATCCTTTCTCTCCTCTCCCCTTTCTAACAAGGAGAACATCTCCTCTGCTTGTAGCTGCCAGGCTACGTCTTCGGCAACTTGCATCAGGACCGGACCGATGTGCTCATCCTCACTCTTCAGCTTGATTCGGCACTTCTGGCAGGAGTTCCTTCGCGACTTCTCACAGCAGATTGGCTTTCTGGCCTCGTTGTTTCAAGCTTCGCGTACCCTGGTGATGGGGCTGCTGAGCTGCACGTTCTCAGACGAGCTCAAAATTCTTGCTGTCGCTTCAGGCTTTCAGGTGCCGATTGCCTCAAAGCGTCAGCTCGCCCTCTGAGGTACAGCATGGGCGGCTTCGGTGCTTTCCAGGTGGGGGGATTCTCCCCAGCGCCTCGGCCATTTTTCGCGGCTTCGCGGCTTTTGGCTTTTTGGATGAACATCTCAGGCCACCTTCGACGTGGTGGTCTCGGTGGCTGGCTACGGCCTCGGGACCCTGGAGGAAGGCGTCGGGATCTTTTCGTTGGGACTTTGGACTTCAGGCTCCTGCCAGTTCCGCCCTGCAGGGGAGGAGACACCCCAGCCAGAAGCGCGCGAGCGCTTCGAGCAGTTCCTCGAGCAGGCTTTCGGCAGAGAGCGCGAGGAGACACAGTCGCTTGCCCTGAACTGCCAGCGTTGGCCAGGTAGCCACCCGCTTGGCAGACGTTCCCGTCGTGCTGGCGATGCACGCGCAGACCCTTGGACATGACTGCTGCGCCCCACGAGGTCATGCATTAAGAGCCACGAAAACAAGAAGCAACGAAGTAGAGCCCTGCGGTGTTTCGCTAGCAACTGCGGGCTCGTGTCTAGCTTTTAACGTTGCCAGCTCAAACTAGGCTTACCGTAGCCTCGCAAACGCTATCGGCAGGTGCACCGTGCAAACACTGCTCCAATGAGCCGCTGGAGTCACCCAAGATATCTGCAGATGTGGGGACAAATTTTGGTTCCTCTCCGGTTCCTTTGTTCTGTTGCTTAAATCCGCCACCTCACGCTGAGCCCGAAAACTCACCAGAAGACCCAAACTTAAGCTAAGCTAAAGCCAGTCCTTATTTTGTTCATAGAAGCTGTGTCACATGACGCAGAGCAGCAGAGTGTATTCAGAGCTTGCTCGTATGAGAGGGAGAGCTCATGACGAAGAGCATTCACTGACGTTTTGCGATGTGTGTAAAGAACGTGCTGGACGGGTCCCTCCCGCAAGGAAAGATGGCATGTCAAGTTTCAATGACGCCACTGGGCTGAATCAAGAGGGGTGACCGTCGACCAAACTTTATGCAAGCGACTCCACCGTGTACCATGTGCATTATCGTCTATGCATTTCGTGACTCCTTGCGGTGCTCTATGTAGCACGGGCTACATATGCCACATCCGCGTAGTGTGATCTGAGAGATCTCCGTATTGCCTACTACATACATGCCACAGTGAAGCAAAATGTCGGAACATCGGAATCATGCACCAGCGTTAATACAGGCGTTGACGAGCCCGTTCATGGCTCAAGGCATTATTCACTCATATGCGCAGAACATACCATATAACTTAAGAAATCGTCAAGCCTTAATTAATTAACCCTAAAGCCCCAGAGCCCGGACTTCAGGATGATCACAATTCCGATGAGATTCCTGTGCCGCGCGACGGTGCCAGCTCGAGTGGGGAGGCTGGGCCCTCTTCAACGCTAAACGCTAAGCGCTGAGCTCGTTGGCACCGGGTGTCGACGCGGATCCACGCCACGGCACGGACAAGGAGGACAGTGGCCTGAACTTTAAGTCCTAAAGCCTACAACCCTTGAGCCCTAAACTCACGGCTATTCGGATGACAGCTGGCAAGGACAAGGAGGAGGGCGAGGGCAATAATAAGAAGAAGAACAAGGGCAAGAAGCCCAGCCAAAAGAAGCAGAAGAGAAGCCAGAAGAGCCACTCGGCTCAATACCAGCAGAGTTGAGCGTCCCTGGCAGCACAGTGTCATCCAAGGAAAAGAGAGAAGCCGAAGAAGGTGCCGAACTTGCAGGGGCAAAAGGCCCGCCGCCTGGCTCAATTCATATTTCAGGACCATCGGCTCTAGACCTGGCTCCGGAGCCTTTCCTCCATGTAGGCGTGCGTTATGACCTGTTTCGGGGTCGCGACCAAGCAGTACAAACTAGATTCCTGTTCAACCCTGTGTTTTTTCAGAAACGTTCAACTCTGTTGGTTTGTCAAACCTATTCAAAGCTGTATTTCTTTCAAAGCCTATTCGATGCCGTACTTCCCTAGAGAAGCTCTTAACTTGATATCTGTTTGTAAAACCTATGCAAACCTGTATTTCTCTAAAAGCCTATTCGACGCCATATTTCCATAGAGAACTTATGAAAACCTATTCAACTCGATATTTGTCTGCGAAACCTATTCGAGCCGGTGTTAGTAAGATTGAGCAAGTGCAACTCGCAATCGCGACAGTGGTGGCAAGAGAGGCAGCAGGCGAGCAATGGTCGCAACGTGAAATAGATCGACCGTCAGCCCTGAACTCCGAACAGAAACACAACTGGCTAAAGGCAACGTTGTTACAGCCTAAGTGATCAACAGGGATCTCGTCGTCGTCGTCGCAGCAGCAGTAGTGGGAGTAGCAGCAGGCGTAGCAGCAGTAGTAGTAGCAGTAGTAGCAGTAGTAGCAGTAGCAGTAGCAGTAGCAGTAGCAGTAGCAGTAGCAGTAGCAGTAGCAGTAGCAGTAGCAGTAGCAGTAGCAGTAGCAGTAGCAGTAGCAGTAGCAGTAGCAGTAGCAGTAGCAGTAGCAGTAGCAGTAGCAGTAGCAGTAGCAGTAGCAGTAGCAGTAGTAGTAGTAGTAGTAGTAGTAGTAGTAGTAGCAGTAGTAGCAGTAGTAGCAGTAGTAGCAGTAGTAGCAGTAGTAGCAGTAGCAGCAGTAGCAGCAGTAGTAGCAGTAGTAGCAGCAGCAGCAGGAGTCGTAGAAGTAGCAGTAGTAGCAGTAGTAGTAGTAGTAGTAGGTTTAGGGTTTGGGTTTTGGGGTCTAGGGTAGACTTTTGAAGGCTGGCATGGACGAAAGCTGGTGCTCCCGCTCGGGGGGTCAGGGATCGTCTCTGCTAGTAGTAGTAGTAGTAGTAGTAGAAGTAGTAGTAGCAGTTGCAAGTAGTTGTACTTGTAGCAGTAGTAGTAGTGGTAGTAGTTGCTGATGATGTGACAGAAGAAGTCACAGACAGGAGTCGTTTCACGGACACGCAACGCGTAAGCCGCTCTAGTTTATGTGAAGCATCCCGGGGCGCAGCTCCTCGCTTCCTAGCGAATACTAATCCGCATGCAGTCGCACCTCTTGGCACCAAGGACTGGCAGTCAGAGGCTTCGTTTGCAGCGGTCGCGCGCAAGCAGACAAGTGCAGGCAGTCTGTGGTTTTTGTTCCTCGACGGCGCAGACTGGCACTGGGCACTCATCAGCGTTAACACAGGCCTTGGTCAGCCCCCATGGCGCCCCTCGACACCGTCAAGTCCGGCAGCGGGCTCAAACGACTCAAGGCATTATTCACTCATGCTCGCAAAGCATATCATATAGTTTAAGAAACCCTCAAACCTTAACTTATTAACCCTAAAGCTTGGACTTCAGAATGATCACAATTCCGATGAGATTCCTGTGCCGCGCGACGGTGCCAGCTCGAGTGGGGAGGCTGGGCCCTCTTCAACGCTAAACGCTAAGCGCTGAACTCGTTGGCACCGGGTGTCGACGCGGATCCACGCCACGGCACGGACAAGGAGGACAGTGGCCTGAACTTTAAGTCCTAAAGCCTACAACCCCTGAGCCCTAAACTCACGGCTATTCGGATGACAGCTGGCAAGGACAAGGAGGAGGGCGAGGGCAATAATAAGAAGAAGAACAAGGGCAAGAAGCCCAGCCAAAAGAAGCAGAAGAGAAGCCAGAAAAGCCACTCGGCTCAACACCAGCAAAGTTGAGCGTCCCTGGCAGCACAGTGTCATCCAAGGAAAAGAGAGAAGCCGAAGAAGGCGCCGAACTTGCAGGGGCAAAAGGCTCGCCGCCTGGCTCAATTCATATTTCAGGACCATCGGCTCTAGGAGCCTTTCCTCCATGTAGGCGTGCGTTATGACCTGTTTCGGGGACTCGATTTAACAAGCACCCAGTCAAGACAAGCAGCAGTAGAAACTGTGTTCCTGTTCAACCCTGCTTTTGTCAGAAAACGTATTTAATATTGTTTGTGTATTAAATTCATTTAAGCCTGTATTTCTTTCAAAGCCGATTCGATGCCGTATTTCCCTGGAGAAGCTCTTCAACTTGGTTTTTGTCGGTGAAACCTATGCCAACCTGTACTTCTCTAAAAGCTTATTCGACACCGCATTTTTCGAGGAAACCTATTCATCTTTATATTCCTTTGTAAAACCTGTTCAAGCTTGTGTTTCTCTCAAAATCTATTCGACACCGTCTTGCCCTAGAAAACCTGTTCAACTTGATAATGTGTTTGTAACACCTTTGCAAACCCGTATGTCTTTAGAATCTTAACCAACGCTGTATTTCTTTAGAAAACCATATTTGTCTCTAAAGCCTTTTCAAACGGTTCCGAACTTAATCGGGTGTGCTTGGTGCTAGGACGCAGCGGCAACCGACCATCGCAGCCATCGGCTCGCAGCGGTCGGTTGCATTTCGACGTTGTGCTGTCCGTGCGTTCGTGTGGTTTCGTCCGTCCGTACGGTGGTGCTTGTGCGTTGAGGTGTATCTGGCTGTAGCTGCGAGTCACCGCTTCTTCGAGTGTTGAGAGATCGCCTTTCCCACCTTTGCTGGATCCGTCCGGCGGGGTCGAGGACTTTTCTCCGTGTCTTGCGGACCGGTGGCTGCTGTCTTTGCCAAGCAACAAGTCACGCGATGAACGTCTCAGGCGTTCGACTTTTAGTTATTGGAGTGCTCACGTCCGGTGCTCACTCAGGCCCGACGCGCGCTCGGAGTCATTCCTGGTGCTGCTTCATGCTCTCGGGCGCCTTCGGTGGCTTCCTTTGGCGGCGCACGGGCTTAGCTTCGGTCTTATGCTTTGGCTTCGCTCTCTGATGGGCGGGCTGGCGATCGCACTCCCTCCTTGGCGGAGGGCCCCCCTCTGGAATTTGAGCTTGGTGCGGAAGTGGAGGAGGCAGAGCAGCCGGCAGGCCGGCCGAGGCTGGCTTTTGCGAAATGGTGGGGCCGCAAGTGTACTTGGCATCCTGCTTTGCAGCCGGACGGGGCCTTCCAGCAGAAGTGTGACTACTGTGCCAAGGTCCTTCGTGCTACCACTTCGGATGCTCTTGCTAAGAAGCGGTACAACCACCATCAGGACTGGCATTCGGACCGCCCTCGCAACTTTGGTCGATTTGAGAACACTGAGGTCGTGATCAAGATCCTCCCGAAATCTGCTTTGGTTGATTGGCGCCGCCCTTGCTGCCGTGCTGCTGTGCCTCGAGGTGAACTTCGGAAGGCTTCCAAGCCTGCTTGGGTTCGGGCTCGGGAGGCTCATCGCCTCTTTGCTCACTCCAAGCTCTGCAGGAAACGTGGGACGAAGGCCGCTGGGAATGTGATGAAGCATCGAGCTGCGATCTTGAACCGATCCCAGGTCAAGCGGCAGGCTGGTGGCAGCACATCCTCGTCGAGTGGGGCGTTCGCTGGTTTCCTTTGCTTCACCTGGCTCATGTTGCGACGAGGCACCAAGTCTCCCAAGCTCATGCTGCGAAATGCCTGGCGTTGCCGTAGCTGCCCTTGCTGCTACTTCGATGCTTCGCAAGCTCGTGCTCACAAGTGTGGCCAGACGGCCCGGCTGAAGGGCAACAAGGGTCGTGTGAAGTGGCTCAAGAAGCTGCAGAAACAGGCTCGGTAGCTGAGCCGCGGCATTG